AGCAGCAAGTTGTGGTTATATCCCGTCTCAGACTTTGGCTGGTAAGTCGTACTGCGCTATCTTAGTACAGTTTTGGTCTCATTTCATAGAAAAAAACGGAACGGCATCTGGTGTCAGTGTGTGGCAAATGATGCTTAAATGCAAGCAACTATGATCAGTTACACATTAATATTTCATTCTATAAGAAGACGAGTTTCTTATTTCATTAATGTGGTTTATCCTATTTCTCTACTGTGAAGTTACACTAATAATTGAGTACTTCTGCTGTTGCAAAGGTTTGAGCAGGGCTTTTAACGGGCCCACAGAGAGTAAAGGGGAAACTAAACTTCTAGTGCTGTTTACAAACAAAACTTGCTTGTACTTCCCAGAGAGCATGCTGGGGATTCAGAGAAAAGTTCCCAGGGGAAGCTTTTATCTAAACTAACAGGAAGAGATTGAGGCTTGCTTTCAGAGATTAATCTATCATCAAGCTTGGTTTTTTCGTTTTAGTTTTGGGTTGTTTTGGTTTTTTGGTTCTTTTTTTATTTTTTTTTCCCAGGAGAGTGTCCTTCACAAAGATCTTATTTCTATACAATGAAATAAAAATTACCACCAGAGTATGTTTTACTATGTCTGAAATGATTATTCAGAAACGTTAAAACAACATAATCAAAACAAATAGGTAATCTTGTCAGTTATGTTGCAAGCAAGACCAGACTACTGGCTTTGAAAAAGGGGTTACATAGGCGACTTTTACTAGGCACTACTGTGATTCAAACACACAATAGTCTGTCTGCCACAATAAAGATGAGACAAATTAACTCCTTACAAAAATGAATATATAAAACTGCATTAGAAGAGGCAATACAGAAGGCATCATCATTCCATGTTTACTTTTAATCACACCTTTATTACAATTACGTAACTATAAATCTATCTTTATTACCTCTGAGAATTATTTTTGTTGTGTTTTCTAACAATGTCCATAATATTATCTCCTGTTACAAGGCTGTTCTGCAGTTGTTTAAGTCTCTGTTGTTCCCTTCTCTTTTGGTCATGTAGATAAGGGGAGTTAAGCAGCTGTGGGGGAAGAATGGTGCCTGTTGGTTTAACTCTCTTCACAACATCCCAGAACAGCTTCTTGCTGTTGTTATTGATAAAAGTAATGGCAGTTCCACTGTGACCCAACCTCCCTGCTCTTCCAACCTGAAAAAAGCAAAAATGCATTTTAAGTTACCAATATTAAATGGAAGGCCTTCAAATACTTGTAGTTTATTTGCTGTTATAAAACAGCAGCTAGCGCAAGTGACAAAGCCAAATCTCTCTGTTTCATCCTCTAAGGACCAAGTTTTAATAAACTTCCTGAATTCAGGACATGCAGAGCTGAAGCTTTAGTTTAAATGCTTCTAAAATTATGACTTGTGTATGGAACAAACCAGAAGTCCAATTTGATATTGAGATATATTATCTATCCTATTGGCAGAGGCTTACAGTAAATATGGCCAAAATAAAATGTTTCTAAAAATCCTGTGTCTTGTATCAGGCATGATATGAACAAGTATGACCAATAAAATGTCCTTTACTTTTTCAATGTTCTAGTAACTTTAAATTATTCATCAATATCTTCTGAAGCCCTTGAACGAATTAGAAAAGAGTCTACAAAGATGCTCTATTTAGGAAGAGACAGTATGCTAATTGTGGTATAGTTTTGATGCTAGAAAAGATAATTTTTATTTATTTACTACTTGCTTGAAACTTTAGCAGAAAGGTAATTAAAAATGAAAGCCGTGTACTGCAGTCAGTAACAAAGACTACTTCAGGAGTTCATGAAGCCGGATGATTTCCAGAGGTCCTTCCTCCCACCTGTTCAGTACAGTGTTAACTTCAAAGCTAGATGAGTTCACTCAGGGCCTTCTCCTATGGAGTTTGAGTGTCTCCAAGCAACAGGTCCCATCACCTCTCTGGGCACCCTGTTCCACTGCCTGATGACTATTGCTGTGAAAAACATTCTTCCCTATTACGAGGCCAGAATTTCCCTTGCAGCAAGTTGTGACCATTTGCTCTCATCCTACCACTGTGCTTCTCCAAGAAAAGTCTGGCTCCGTCTCCTCTGTAACTGCCCATTACCAAATGAAGACAGCAACTGCATCTCTACTCCAGCCTAAACAAGCCCAATTCCCTCTGCTTCTCTTCATGTATCACACATGCCAGCCCCCTGACTTTGTCTGGACTCTCTCCAGTTTGCTGGCTTTTCTTGTAGCCGATGCCTCAAAACTGGACACAGTACTACTGTGGCTTCCTAAGTGCCAAAACGAGGGTAATAATTAGTTCTCTTGATCTGCTAGCCAAACTAGGCTCAGAGGCTGCATATATACAAATAATACAAACACAGGCACACAACTCCCATACCATCTTTTTTAAAGCAGGAAACTAACTGTTAGGAAAAAAAAAAACAGAGGAGATACTGAAGAGGGAAGGAAAATAAAATTCATGACTGGTTTCCTGATTGTACTTACGTGCATATCCCACACTGCAAATGAGCTGCAGCAGAAAGAGGGACTTTCTTCACACAGATAGTAAAACCATGACAAGCTTTGCTTTCATACACAAAAAATATAAAAAAAAAGATACAAAAGGGTACATAACAGGAAGAAGAATACTACTGCAAACCTAACTGATACAAGACCACTGTTCTAGGTTTTAATAACTTTTATAGGAGATACAAGAACAGTGTTCTGGAATTTGGTAATTTATGTAAGGATATGGAAGAGATATTCAGCACCTTTCTTTCCTGTCCCATAAAAACAATATTCTGAAGATTAAAATAATCTTTACATTTAGATTTAAATTTCCATAGGCAGATGTCATATTTCAGTATACTTTTCAAATAATGCTGTAGCAATTTCTTTACCTGATGTACATATTCATCCATACTTGAAGGCATATCAAAATTTACTACCAGTTTGACATTGACCAGGTCAAGCCCTCGTCCAAGGACTCCAGTACTTACTATAACTTCATGCTTCTCTTGAAGTAATCCCTGAGGAATGAAAAAAAATCAGTTCTTTTTTCCTTATTTATATTTTTAATCTCTCCAAGCATAGGCTAGGGTTAGTATACAGTGTAAGAAGACAGCCAGCAGGGTAATTCTATTTCAGAGGAGAGAATGCCCTTCCTGTATGCTTGATTTAAATAGGAATATAATTCACAAAGCTAGTTAAAGGAGAGCAAAACTATTATTTTAATTTTTTAAAAGTCATCAATTAAATGCATTTTTAAATTCCCATTTGAAAGCACATAGCCTGGGAAATAGTCTCCAGTATTTGCCTGCATTTAAAATGTCATTACTATCTACTGTTTTGTTTGATCCCATCTGTCTCGTCTCTTCCCCAGCAATACTCCAGATTTAACTGCAGAAAAGCAGTAAATTGTGACTTAATTCATTCAAATTAACACACCTTTAAAAAAAAATTGCCATTCAAAATTTATCAAAAGCTCCATAACTTTAGGAGGCACAAACCTGTAATATGTCTGTTCTTTCCACCTGAGACTTTTCAGAATGCATAGCTGTACACTGCAGTCCTGTGATCTTATGAACAGCATCACTCAGCAGATCTGCTCCTAGCTTACAGTCCACAAACACCAGCACTGGAGGCTTGAAGAGCTTCTTATCCTGTAAAATTCAACAGTTTACATAAGACATATTACAACACTTTGCTGTTCACCAGCAGCAGCATGGATTCAACTTCTGCTCATTATCTCTAATGTTAACAAGACTTACAGATGGATAAATATTTTAGACTCTAGATAAGAAGGAACAAGATACCAGCCCTGAAACTATACATATCTGTACATGGTAAACATATAATAATCTGTAGACTCAGAATCCAACTTTCTATCAATACATGCATTTTTTTAGAGGTCAGAAGCTTTCTTTTAAACTTTTTTCTAAAGTTTACATAAAAATTCTGAATTTCTTGAAGTTCTGAGGTTCAGCCAAAGATTCTTATTTACTTTCTGTATAACCTCAGCCAAAACTCCAAAACTCCCCCCTAGCTATTCATAGAAGATATATATTGTTATTCACACAGAGAAAATTCAAGAATGAACTAAATCAGCTTTCTCACTGGTTTCTTTAATAAATTCTAAAATGACAAACCACTCTCAGACCATAAAACAGCTATGACAGTTTAAGGAAGTCCCGTTCCTCTACCATTCCCAGATAACAAGTACAAATCTTTGGGTTGCCATACTGAAAATCACACACACAAAAAAAATTTCAAATAAATAATTATGATTCTGAATTTGGATCTCAGCTCAGGAATCTATTTTGCTACTGCACAGAACGAGGTGTGAGTGACGGGGGTGAAGTAATCCCTGAAGGTGCCATGGAAGCTTCTACACTGCAGAACTACTGGACTACTTGGTGCAGTTATATACTTGACCTCCCTCCAACTCTTCACTACATACAGGTTAGAATAAAATATGAGAACCTGACAGACATGCATGAAGACACAAATAGGTTTATAAGTTGCTTTAAGGAGAGAAAATATTACACTTACATTTAGGATTTCAAACAGCTTTTTCTTTTTAGATGGTTCTTCTACCCACAAAATAATCTGGCGAACACTGGAACACGGCAGATTCTTTTCTCCAACTGTTATTCTTACAAAATTGTGCAGAAGCTGATTTGCTAAGTGTTCAATGCCCACAGGAATTGTGGCTGACACCAGTATGGTTTGATGATCGTGAGACATGTCTTCCAAAATATCCAACACTTGCTGCTGGAAACCCATTTTTAGCATGGTATCCACCTAAGTGAAAAATTTTAAGTTTTGTACCAGATTTTTCCGTAAACAGCAGAATCTTGAACTTGAATTGACAAAGAACTGTAATGTGTATGATTGCATGTACTAATCCCAGTCCAGGAGTATTTTCAGCCAGAAAGCTAAGTGAGAAAATTAAAAACAAAATGGTTCACACTGGTCTAGGAGTATTACCCTGTCAGGTGGTTTGAACATGCATTCTCATGCATGTTCACAAATTTCAAATTGTGTTAAAAAATACATTTTGTCTTTATAGTGACCACTCTGTATGTTTAATCAGTTAGACTAGCCCCTTGCACTGGCTCTTCAAGGACCTCAAGTGCAGTACAGCCGTGATAACTGAAAACTTACTTCATCCACCACTACAATTTTTATGCTGTGCAGTTGAACAGAACTTTGCTTTAAGATCTCAAGAAGTCTTCCAGGTGTTGCTATTATAATCTGAAAAAAAAAAAAAAAAAAAAAAAGACAAAGACAGACAGAAAGAATGTCATCTGCATGGAAAACTGTTTTTGCTGCAAATTACAACCCCCTGTCTAATAAAACAGCCTATTTAAGTCTTTGAAAACAGCAATATCACACATGAAACTTTCCAAAGCAAAGAAAAAAATCTATTATATGTTTAATCAGAAGTCAAAATGCTAAAAAAAAAAAAAAAAGGGTTCTGTAAAATGCTCAAAAGCTAACAACTATTTTAGTAATTTAGACTTACAGA